CCCCGATCCACAATCTTTTCGGGCCGGCTTTCCTATGTGTGTCCCTCCACTGCCGTGTATATATGCATATAAAAAGACAATTAGTTGTTATTAAGTTGTACACAAAAGCCGTCGAATCTTTTCTTTTCCGCTGCCGCTTCTTCATTTTTGGCATCGCCAGCTTTTGTGAGACGGTTCGTCTAGATGCGGAATTAATGATGCAATGACAATTGATGCACACCACGCAAAGCGCATTTAGCATTTATGATATTTATGCTCAATTAGTGTCGCTGTTTGCTGTTTTCTGTTTGCCGTGTGGCGATTTGGCTGGATCTTTCCCCCAGAGTTTCCCCCCGTTGCAAGTGTGAAGTTTCAGTTTGATTTGATGGCCTCAAGTCGAGTTACATGAGGTTAGTTGAGAGACACTATTGCTGGACACTATTTATGGGTACTAATTTCGGTGTTTACTACAAATTCCTGAAGTTTCAGGTTGATTTAATAGCTGCAACCGAAGTTACACGAGGGTGGTTGAAAGACGTGTCACTATAAACTACATACTACTATTAATTGTGTGTTGTTTAAGACCAAAATGATATTGATTTTATGACTGAAAGCTGGGTTACATGGGTTCCCAAGTAGGTTTCACGCTAATTAGTAGACTGCTTGCTGAGTTATAAATGCTATTTTACAGACGAATGACTTAAAAACGCCCCAATAACATTCTATAATTCCAACTTCCCCATTTAAAGGCAATAAGTGAAATTTCAATTTGATTTGATAAACTCAAGCTGAGTTTCTTGAGACTAATTTGTGGATAGTTATTAAAAAATCCACACACACAATACCCACATACTTGTTAAAGCACACTTTAGTGTTATGTGAAATTTTAATTGATTAAGATGACTACAAGCTGAGTTACTTGAGGTCACTGCATAGATGGATGCTTCATTCGATTGAAAATCAGCTAATTACTGCCTAAACATATCACATGGGAAATTTGAAGTGCGTTTGATGGCTAGTTCCCAAGTTACTTGAGGACACTCCACTCGGCCGGCTTCAATTAGCTTCAATGGCTATTCATAATTAATGCCATAAACCGGAAAGAGAGGGAAACAGCAAATAATCATAATAAAAATTGATCAAGCACACAGACAGACACGAAGACACACATAGTTCATGAACTCAATTTTTAATAATAATTTCCAAATGATTTTTTATTTCACATTATTAGTTGCGTGGTGTGGTGTAGTTTGGTAGTTCAGATCGAGTTCGAGTTCTCGGGTTCAGATCGGATCGCCATCTCCACCCACAAGCTTTTAATTGTTCGATTTTCATTTCGGTGCGATGCGATGCGATTCGTCTCGTTTCGTTTCATTTCGATTCGATTCGATCCGTTCGTCGCGTTGTTATAGATACGAAATGGATGGTTATTTCGGTTTCTGTGTCTGTTTTTGCTGCTGCCGCCGCCGCTTCTGTTTTAATTTCCGTGCTGACAAATTAATTTAATTATATTAACATATCTTTCCAGCGATCGAACGATTGAACTGACTGAAATATTTTCGTATGCCATATTCCGACATATGATTGTCTGTGTGTTTGTGCGCTGTGTGTGGGTGGTTGAATTCGGTCTGTGATTCTCGGTATAACCCCTTTTTTCCCGTGGTCTCTGACTCATTAGCTGGCTTCTGTGCCAGAGAGCGAGTAAATTGCACTTAAAACGCTAAAAATTATACGACACACGCCGCTCGGTCCATCGATCCGATCTGTATCTGTATCTCTATCCGTAGCTGTGTACTGTATCTGCTATATGGAATTTGGCATTTGTATCTCTGGTGTGTTTCCAAGGGCTTAGAGGACAACGACAACCCTTGGCTGCTCATTTTCGGCATATGCAAATGCAAATGCCTTCGACCGGAGGCATCGAGACGCCATCTTTGAAAATTAAACTTTATAAACTATCAATGCTCGTCGTCCCCGGTATATTATTCGTATCCGTATCTGCATCTGTGATGGTGCTGATGGTGGTGGTGACTACCCTATAAACCGGTTTCAATTCGATTAAAACGGAACCCCAACTCGATTTTCTCTCATCTTTTCATTTTAATTTTGTTGATTTTTTTTTTTAAGTCAGCAAATGCATTTGGCAATTAGTTCGGTTTTGTTGTCTTTCCATTTTCATTTTTCCAGTTTGGATCAGCACAAATCAATGACAAAAAACCTCATCTTTCGTCTAGTTTTCGGTTTTACGGTTTTTCGGATTTCGGTAATTGTAGAAGCTCAAAAAAAAAAAAAACCAAAAGCAAAAAAAAAATCTGTTCGATGTTAATGGGTCAAGTTTATAGATTGCATTACGGAAATTAATTTTGCTCTTTTTAACTTCTGATTCTTCTTTGGTTCTGCTTCTTGTTCTGTTCTTGCTCTTGTTTTTGATTTTTTTGTGATCGTTTTTTTTCGGTGCCACCGTTCGTTCTATATATTTAATGACAAAACTTTGTGTTAATCAAGCACATTTTTATTGTTGCCTTTTCGATTTCGATTTGTGTCAATTTTTTCGCGTGCTGTTCTTGAAATGTAAATAAATAAATAAGGAATACTATAAAAGTATTTCATCAACTCATTTGGACAGCTGTAGACGGCTGTCTGCGGTTTGTTTAATTTACTTAATAAACTTCTATTTTTGGTAAACAAATTAAAATATGTTGAATAACCTCTTTTTTCCGCAAAGAAATGGTATTAATGGATCGAGTTATAATTTTGTTTAGCGCTTGCAAAAGGCATGACGAAACCTTTCAAATATTGATTCATTGATTACAATCGATCATCGGTCGAAGGGGTCTAAAAAGTTTTGGGAGTCTCGAAGCTTTTGAAAGCCATCAAATGATCGTTAAGAACTGGGCAAAAAAAAGAACCCCAGACAGAGGCGTATGGAAATCGGTTTTTGGTGGTAATTTAGGACCTTTATTTACCAAATAATATCAATATTAAATAGGAACACAAAGAAAAGCATATTTTTCATATACAAATAAATAATATAAGTTTCCGTTAAGTTTCCCCAAAAACCTGTTCTCTTTGAGATCCCAAAACCCCTTTCCATTGATAAAATCCTGCGTACGCCTCTGACAATCTAGACAATCCTAACGAGTTTTGCGGCTTCTCTGCATTTTGTCTTTGTTGTGGTTCTCGGGAAAAAGTCGATAGGATAGCTTTTGGTTTTGCTTATTTAAGTTTTATTGATTGCAGTTTGCATCGCCACATCTTGTAGGAAAATATTTGTAGAGTGGAAAAACGCCATTCGCCGACGGCAAATGACTAGATTTTCCGGGAACTTTTCCGGCCTGCCTGTCTGTCTGTCTGTTGTTTTTTTCTTTATGTCCGTCTCTCTGGCTTTTCAGGATCAATCGAAGAAGAAACTCCAATTAAAAATTCCCCGGCTGTCGACGCAACATAATTAACTTGCCAAAATCATATAGAGAGTATTTTTATATATAGAAATATTCAAAAATATATATGAGTTGATACTTCCATGTCTGGTCTGGCAGTTCCTCTTCCCCTCGCTTCTAATGTTATTTTGCCGCCTTATTTGTTCGGAGCCTGGCATTTGGCCAGGAAAATTCTCAGCGTCGTCTGGCCCCCGCCCCCCGATTTTCCACGCCCCCCAAACCGACTGCATTATCTCCTGTCTGGCCGATCTTGTCTGGCTTTAACTTTTTGGTTCACCGGATCGCAGCAGCGATGGAAAAAATACAAAAAGCCGTAGCAACAAAAAACTAAGAAATAAATAAATAAGTTATTCAAGCAATAAATTGTTCACTTATTATTTGCTTGTTGCACTTTGCATTTTTCCTTTTTGTTTTGTGTAAACAAATTTTTCAGAAATCAATAATAGCAGAAAAAATAAATAAATTTACAACAAGAAATTAGACAACAATAACGGGGCAGCAACAATAAAAACACATTTGCCTTAGACACGCAAACTCAATTAGTTAACTTAAGTTAAGTTAAGCAGTTGGCGGGGCGAATGTATGGGGGCATCAGGGGGTTAACGTGGGCGGTTGGGCGGTCTAGGGTTATTGTTGTCAGCTGTGGGAGTTTCAGGCCAATGCATCGAATGTGATAGAACTCGCAAACGATTCACATTTTATCAACAAAAATAATTGTGAATGAAATTTGCCTTGTTTTATTTTCAAATGAGTTTTGCTTTTCAATCGAGAACAAATACGATTTATAGTCTTCTGGTTTTATAAACTAAATGTAAGGTGGAATATAACAAATGCTTTTTTTTACTACCCAAAAGTTCTGCCTTCCATTTAAGTCATGTTACTTTTAAAATTTTAATTGTAAATTAATCAATTAATTTCATTCATTAAAATTTCACTTTAAACTTTTCACTTGAATTGCACAAAATATGTTGTGAATCATTTTTCATTTTATAAATTATCGAATCATATTTATTTTTATTCATATAACCCCTTTTGGTTCATGAAATACCAGAGATTATTTATGTCGAAATATGCAAAGAATTTGTTTTGAAAATGTTTACACTTTAGCAATTTTATATTCAACTTCGCATCAGGTGTGGTGTCAACATATTTTTGAATCAAATTTATTTCATTCATAACAAATTCACAAATTACGACGACAGATAATGTTATAAGAACCAATTCCTGAACCACTTACACAGGTGTAATTTTAGCTTTTTAAATTGTTGGGATTATTTATTTAATGCAATTAAAATGAAATTATTGAGCCAATAATAATGTTGACTTAAATAACAGATGCATCACTTTTGTTTTGTTTTAAGTTTATGTAAATATCTATTTGATTATTTTTAAGAACTCAAACCGATTTTGATAGGCACTTATTACAGGTGAAATGCTACCTATTTTAGTTGAAAGTCTATTTTATTTTTTTTAATGTGAAATTCCCTTGGTGAGTTGGAGATAAACTAATGACTGCTTCTGCTTCTTTTGAAATACCAAACTTTACAACACATTTCGCGAATTTCTGAAAACATTTCTTACCTGTTGCCAAAATTGTGCCAATAAATAAATTTGCTCCTTTTTGAAAAACCAATCGTTGATTGATTGAACAGCCGTCAGATCCATATCGGCTGTCCCAGCGGCTTGTGGCAATGTTGGCTGCATTCGTGGGCTTTCTTGGGTTAATTCAATGATTCTCAGTTTGTTTCTTTTCGATTTCGATCAGTTTTTTGGTTCTACCAATTTGGGGCTAATAAGGCCTGGCATTATTTGTTCTGCTCTTTTGTTTCGTTTCGATATCTTTGTTAGTTAGTTGTTAATTATATTGGTTTGTTTGTTTTTTAGTCATCACATTTACACCTTAAGTATTATGTTTTTGTTACGTGCCCAAAAAAATTCATAAATAAGCCAATTTATGTGTGTTATGTTATTATTATTATGGGTATGTTTTTTTATTTTTCTTTTCTTTCACTTTAGTTCCGAAAAAATGAATTTTTATATTTTAATTTTTTGGGGGGGTTTTGTTTGATGTTGTGTGGGGGGATTGTTGTAGTTGTATTTGTTGAATGGTGAGGGTTTGTTGTTGTTGTTGTTTTGGTTGTTGTTGCCTGTCGTTGTTGTTGTTGTTGTGTGTGTGATATTTTCAAGCCATTATTATTATTATTATTATGATGATGTTGTTGCTTTTTGGCTGTGGCTTATTTTGCACATGTTTGCTGTCGTTGTTGTTGCTGTTGTTGCGGTTGCTGTTGTTGCTGTTGTTTACACTTGACACTCATACACGCGCACATATTTTTTGGCGAACAAAAAATACACTTGAAAAAAATAATAAACAGTTTTTCGTTCGTTAGTCCTTCTTTTTTGTTTGGTTGTTGTTGTGTGTGTTTTTGTTTATGATCTTTACGTTTCTTCTTCTTGGCAAGCGATATACATTCTTTGATTTACTTAATAATTTTTGTTAACTTTTTTGTTGTTGTTGCTGTGGGAGTGGGGGTGGGGGGATTCTTCTGCACACACACACACGCACACAGACAAGAGAGAGAGGGGCACACACGCACACACACCCGCGCCGCGGCGAAGAAGAAGAAGCTCCGCTTGGTGGGGCAGAAGTAGAATCCAAAAAATATCTTCTGAAATTCTCGATTTCTTTCGGCGACGGGACGAACGAAGCGACGTTGCCAGTCACGAATGCTGTTGATGACTGAACAAATCCAAATCGAACGTTAACGAAGCGCCGACAACCCTCTGCCGCGGCGAGCGCCGGCAGTGCAGTCGCTGCGTGCAGAGGCGCTACACACGCACACACTTTCGAATAGGAGCGCGTTCTCTCTCTCTCACGCTCTCTCTCTCGCTCTCCGTGGAATCTCACTCAATTTTCCCTACTACCACTGCTTTTTTGATTTCTTTCAATAGCTTTTTGATTTTCTCACTTTTTTTTGTGGTGGGGGGACCTGGGGTCTCCTCTTTTTTTTACTCTTATTTTTGAGCATTTTTCTGCGCCGCCGCATGTCAGTTGCATATATTGAAATTCATTCATTCACAGACACTTTTGGCTCGTGCTCTCCCGCTCGCACACGGCTTTTCTTATTGGAAACGAACGAGTCGGAGTCGGGCGGTGCTCTCTTCTCTCCCGCCTTTTTGTTGTTGCTGTTTATTGAGCGCAGGATTGAGTGCAACAGAGACTGCGACGCCGGCAGAGGGATTTTTCGAAACTTATAATATTTTTTCCTTGTGGTGTGGGGAGGGGGGTCGTGGGTCTTACCTCAAATTATTATTAAGTCTGTGTTGGGATTTCGGAAATTGTCAAGGATTTTTTTAAACATTTCTTCAATGTGTTTCAAATAGTAAAGGGCAAAGAAAACACCTTAAGAATTAAATCAAAACTTGTTGGTAATTTCAAAAGACCCAAATGCAGTTTAAAAATGTTAAGCAAGCCCAAAGGACGAGAATTTATTTGTAAATTAAAAATGCGTTAATTAAATTTTTAAGTTTAAAAAGGTAAGCCCTATAAAAAAAAAACTTGTTAGGAATCAAATAAAAGCTTCGTTAAAGTAGATTGGTAAATTTTTTGAAGAATAATCTTAAGTCGTAATATAAATAAATTAAATTAATATAATTATTGACAAAGGTTACATTAACAGGAATAACGATCAGAAGACTTTAATTAAGAGGTTCTGAAAAAACCTTTGGTTAAAGTAAGGGTTTGGTTTTCTATGATGCACCTTAAATTGTAATCCCAACTTTAGTCCCATGACTGCCGCTGGTGGCTCTTCAAAATCCATGGAAAATTAAATGGGCGTGTAGCCCCCTTCCAGCCCCCGTTACTTTGTTTTTTCCGCACTCCCCTGGAATTTCGCTGTCCCGTTGCGGGATTTTCGCATAAAGAAAAGTTCAAATTGTATCGAAGCGCCAAGTGCAATGCAGACGCCCCCCCACCCTCCCCGCCCCTATTTTTCCTCTTAACCCATGTTTTATGTAGGGGAGGGGGTGGGGGCGGCTGATTTCCAAGGGGTTATGGCTTACACCTAAACTGAGTCTGAGAACCCAAGTCGCAGTCGCAGATGCGTTGCTGCAGTCTGAGAGGAAAATCGCAGGAAATCTGGGAGTGTGGTGGAGGAAGAGGGGGTGAAATGGGGTGTACGGGGAGTATTGGGGGCTTGGATTTGCTCGGGGACTTTGTCGTCGGCTGGCAAATAACGGGAGAGCCGAGAGAAAGGGCAGCGCCACCTACACGAAGACAAAAAACGATGCTCGGTTCCGCCGTCGGCGTCGAAAAATAAAAAAAAAACTATTCCTTTTATTTTATTGCTCTTGTTTTTTTTCCTCGAAGGTATGGGTCTTTTAGCCACATATTATGGGGATAACCAATACGTATTTGTAAAAATATATATAAATTAAAATTATCGTATTTAATATATAATCCAAAATAAGGTCAACAATTTAGGATTTTTGCATTGTAATAGAATATTATTTCTATTTTTAATGACAAACCAAATTCAATAATTAGTTGGTTTAAAAAACGCTTTACTTTTAGTTTACAGTAATATAAAAATAGCATACTAAGTAAAGACATTTATTGCAAAATTTAAACAGTCCCAAAAAGATTACTGACCTTAAATTTTTCAAATAGTTAATAATTAAAAAAAAAAATATATTGTAAGTTGAATAAAAAGAAATAAACTAATCCCCTTGTTATATGGTAAATTATATTTTATTTAGCTATTCGCAAATGAATCATCATATAAAAGTAGTAGGTTCTCTTAATATGAATTACAATTTCAAAACATATATTTCTTCCCTAAAATCAAAGAAATAAATAAAATCAAATTCATCTAAAGACCCTGAAAATCCCTCTAAAAAAACAAGTGTGTTCGCCGACCAGCCAAATTCCAACTAGATTAAAATCAGCTAAGTCCAAAAAAAACCACTCAATCTAAAAACTCTCAAGTTGTTCACTCACTCACTCTCTCGTTTGAGTCGCAGTTGCAAGGGGTTCGGACTCGTTTTCGAAACGTTTTTCGAACTTGTTGAGCCGATAATATTTGTATGAAGAATTCCAATTTATTTAACAGCTGGAAAGCGTTTGATTCCTTACCTGTTCGTTTTTTTCTAGTTCCGTTATATTTTGTAATTACTTCCGTAATTGGATTTATTGGATTGGATTTATTGGATTTATTAAGCAATACTTTTGATGGCTTGGTAACGTCAGTAGTTCTAAAAATGTATAAGAAGTCTGTTGATATCGTTGCGTTAATATTATTGCTTTACATTTAAATTAAAATATGCATCAACTAGCCAATTTTGAATATTGATTGGTTGTCTATTGTTATTGTTAATTAAAATCCATATAAAAAAATAGCTAAAGAATCTCTTGATTTGTCACAATATAGTTTTCATATATTTAGTATAAGCTTAACTATTTTTAATAAAGCTATTTTCTAAAAAAATATGATTTGACAACAAAACAATCAAATAATAATAGTTAAGGTAAGCCTTTAGAAAATTCCCAGAATAAAGGGTTTTTTTTTTTATTTTTTTAATTTCCAAAAAGCTTCTTAATTAGTTGTCAAAAATATGTAATTCAAAATTAGTCAACAGAACAGATTTATTCCAAATTAGAAAACCATTACAAATACATAGGTACATATTAGTTTAATGTAATGTGTTAATTGATTCAAACTGATTTAAATTATAAAAGGCTATATTTTATTTATAACTGGTTGAAAGAAAAAGTTAGTTCGAATTAAATCAGTAGTGCTTAACCCTCGATCGCTTGATTAACCCTCCACTGAGAGCGGGGTCTCAAAAAGCTCAAAAAGCACTCAGTTGACAGGCGCTCTCAATTTTCGATAATTCGCATAATAAAAACCAAAACCAAATCGCACACACACACACAGACAAGTGTCACATAAAAAGTCGAAGCAGAAGCGGCAGCGACGTCGACAGAGGCAGCAGCAGAGGGCAAAAGACAGACAAAAAAACAGAAGAAAAAAGCGAAGCAAACGATTTAAGCCCCGCCCCATTTGATTGGCGAGCAAAAAGCAAAGCAGAAAAAAAAACGACGACGAACGTCAATGGACAGCACACATGTGAGTGTGTGTGTGTGCTGCCTCTGCAGGCGCCGACGTCGCTGCTACCTGCGCAGCGACAGAGGAGCATCCAATATCTGTTGCTCTCACAAAAACTTGAAGACATCAACTTGTATGTATATTTGTTGGTGTTGTTATGAAATTGGTAAGAAACCATGTGCTAAAGAATGTCATGTAACAAATAAATATACCAATTAAGATAATACCTATCTAACTAAATTTCCAACAATTAAATTTAGGCAGTATAGAAAATAAAGAAACGATTTTTTAAGAAAATATGAAGAATGTAAAATTATTTTAAAATTTAATTATGTATTTAACTTTCATTACATTTTGTATTGCGTATTGGTATTTATTATAAGAAAAACGTTAATACCTAAAATATAAAACAAAAGTGTCATTCAGTAATGTTAAAGGTAAACGATGAAAATTTTATAAAAATAAACTAAAGTCTGTATTTTATATAATAAACTGCTGCGTTAAATTTGTATTAAATACATCTTTAGTAAGGAATGTATATTTAACGAATATATATAATTATATAGAGTAAACATTAACAGACATAAACAATTAAAGAAAACTATATGAATATTAAGGACGAAAACGTAAAACTCTTGGCCGAAAAACTACTGTACAACATTTTTAATTACAAAATTTTGAAAAATTAAAATGAGTTTAAGGTTATTTAAACAAATAATTTAAAACGGAACACCGCTAAATCATATAAACAAATATAAGAATAAGATATAATAATCAAATGAAATACTAAAATATAGGATTAAATCCGACTTATTATGAATAGATCCAGGATATACAAATATTAAAATAAAAATGTATCAATAGTAGTTATTAAAAAAATATTTAATTTTTTATGTTAAACTATCAATATTTAAAG